TGTTTGAACTTGAGTTTGTGGCATTTATTGAACTTGAATTTCTGTTGTTTTTGAACTTGAGTTTATGTTGTGTTTGAACTTGAGTTTGTGTGTTTTTTAAACTTGAGGTTGTGTTATGTTTGAACTTAAGTTTGTGGTGTTTTTTGAACTTGACTCTGTGTCGTGTTTGAACTTGAGTTTGTGATGTTTTTTAACTTGAGTTTTTGGTGTTTTTGAACTTGAGCTTGTGGAAATTGTTAAACTTGAGAATTGGGTGTTGTTTGAACTTGAGTTTATGGTTTTTTTTAATTGAATTTGCGTGTTTGGTGAACTTGAGTTTTCGTGTTTTTTGAACTTGAGTTTCTGTTTTTTTGAACTTGAGGTTTTGGAAATTGTTAAACCTTAGAATCGGGTGTTGGTTGAAATTGGGTTTGTGTGTTTGTTGAACTTGAGTTTGTGTTGTTTTTGAACTTCAGTTTTTGGTGTTTTTGAACTTGAGGGTGTGGAATTTGTTAAAACTGAGAATTGGGTATTGGTTGAACTTGCGTTATTTGTGTTCTTTGAATTGGGTTTGTGTAGTGATTGAACCTGAGTTCGTGGTGTTTTTGAACTTGAGTTGCGTGTTTTGTGACCTTGAGTTTGTGTTTTTTGAACCTGAGTATCTGTTGTTTTTTAACTTGGAGTTGTGGGGGTTTTTTCACTTGAGGGTGTGGAATTTTTTTAAACTTGATAATTGGGTTTTGGTTGAACTTGAGTTTGTGGTGTTTTTGAACTTGAGTTTCTGTTGTTTTTGAACTTGAGTTTATGTTGTGTTTGAACTTGAGTTTCTGTGTTTTTTAAACTTGAGTTTGTGTTATGTGTGAACTTAAGTTTTTGGCGTTTTTTGAACTTGACTCTGTGTCATGTTTGAACTTGAGTTTGTGGTGTTTTTTAACTTGAGTTTCTGTTGTTTTTGAACTTGAGTTTATGTTGTGTTTGAACTTGAGTTTGTGTGTTTTTTAAACTTGAGTTTGTGTTATGTTTGAACTTAAGTTTGGGGCGTTTTTTGAACTTGACTGTGTCGTGTTTGAACTTGAGTTTGTGGTGTTTTTGAACTTGAGTTTTTGGTGTATTTGAACTTGAGCTTGTGGAAATTGTTAAACTTGAGAATTGGGTATTGTTTGAACTTGAGTTTGTGGGGTTTTTTTAACTTGAATTTGCGTGTTTGGTGAACTTGAGTTTTCGTGTTTTTTGAACTTGAGTTTCTGTTTTTTTGAACTTGAGGTTTTGGAAATTGTTAAACCTTAGAATCGGGTGTTGGTTGAAATTGGGTTTGTTTGTTTTTTGAACTTGAGTTTTTGGTGTGTTTGAACTTGAGTTTGTGGTGTATTTGAACTTGAGTTTGTGTGTTTGTTGAACTTGAGTTTGTGTTGTTTTTGAAGTTGAGTTTTTGGTGGTTTTTAACTTGAGGGTGTGGAATTTGTTAAACACGAGAATTGGGTTTTGGTTGAACTTGAGCTTGTGGTGTTTTTGAACTTGAGTTTGTGGTGTGTTTGAATTTTAGTTTGTGGCGTTTGTTGAAGTTGAGTTTCTGTTGTTTTTGAACTTGGGTTTGTGTCGTGTTTGAACTTTAGTTTGTGTTTTTTTTGAACTTGAGTTTGTGTTATGTTTGAACTTGAGTTTGTGGCGTTTTTTGAACTTCAGTTTGTGTCGTGTCTGAACTTAAGTGTGTGGTGTTTTTGAACTTGAGTTTCTGTTTTATTTAACTTGAGGTTTTGGAAATTGTTAAACCTTAGAATCGGGTGTTGGTTGAAATTGGGTTTGTTTGTTTTTTGAACTTGAGTTTTTGGTGTGTTTGAACTTGAGTTTGTGGTGTATTTGAACTTGAGTTTGTGTGTTTGTTGAACTTGAGTTTGTGTTGTTTTTGAAGTTGAGTTTTTGGTGGTTTTTAACTTGAGGGTGTGGAATTTGTTAAACACGAGAATTGGGTTTTGGTTGAACTTGAGCTTGTGGTGTTTTTGAACTTGAGTTTGTGGTGTGTTTGAATTTTAGTTTGTGGCGTTTGTTGAAGTTGAGTTTCTGTTGTTTTTGAACTTGGGTTTGTGTCGTGTTTGAACTTTAGTTTGTGTTTTTTTTTTAACTTGAGTTTGTGTTATGTTTGAACTTGAGTTTGTGGCGTTTTTTGAACTTCAGTTTGTGTCGTGTCTGAACTTAAGTGTGTGGTGTTTTTGAACTTGAGTTTCTGTTTTATTTAACTTGAGGTTTTGGAAATTGTTAAACCTTAGAATCGGGTGTTGGTTGAAATTGGGTTTGTTTGTTTTTTGAACTTGAGTTTTTGGTGTGTTTGAACTTGAGTTTGTGGTGTATTTGAACTTGAGTTTGTGTGTTTGTTGAACTTGAGTTTGTGTTGTTTTTGAAGTTGAGTTTTTGGTGGTTTTTAACTTGAGGGTGTGGAATTTGTTAAAAACGAGAATTGGGTTTTGGTTGAACTTGAGCTTGTGGTGTTTTTGAACTTGAGTTTGTGGTGTGTTTGAATTTTAGTTTGTGGCGTTTGTTGAAGTTGAGTTTCTGTTGTTTTTGAACTTGGGTTTGTGTCGTGTTTGAACTTTAGTTTGTGTTTTTTTTAACTTGAGTTTGTGTTATGTTTGAACTTGAGTTTGTGGCGTTTTTTGAACTTCAGTTTGTGTCGTGTCTGAACTTAAGTGTGTGGTGTTTTTGAACTTGAGTTTCTGTTTTATTTAACTTGAGGGTATGGAATTTGTTAAACTTGAGAATCAGGTGTTGGTTGAAATTGGGTTTGTGTGTTAGTTGAACTTGAGTTTGTGTCGTGTTCCAACATCATTTTGTGGTGTCTTTTGAATTTATTTTGTGTGTTTTTTGAACTTAAGGTTGTGGAAATTGTTAAACTTGAGAATTGGGTATTGGTTGAACTTGATTTTTTTGTGTTTTGAACTTGAGTTTATGTCGTGTTTGAATTTGAGCTTGTGGTGTTTTTGAACTTGAGTTTCTGTGTTTTTTGAACTTGAGGTATTGGAAATTGTTAAACCTTTGAATCAGGTGTTGGTTGAACTTGAGTTTGTGTGTTTGTTTGACCTCGAGTTTGTGTCATGTTTGAACTTTAGTTTGTGGTGTTTTTGAACTTGATGGTGTGTTGTGTTTGAACTTGAGTTTGTGATGTATTTGAACTTGAGTTTGTCTCGTGTTTGAACTTGAGGGTGTGTGTTTGTTGAACGTGATAATTTGGTGTTGTGTTGGAACTTAAATTTGTGGTGTTTTTAAACTTGAGTTTGTGTCGTGTATGAATTTGAGTTTGTGTCATGTTTTTGACTTGAGTTTTTGGTGTTTTTTAACTTGAGGGTGTGGAATTTGTTAAACCTGAGAATTGGGAATTGGTTGAACTTGCGTTTTTTGTGTTCTTTAAACTGGGTTTGTGTAGTGATTGAACCTGAGTTCGTGGTGTTTTTGAACTTGAGTTGCGTGTTTGGTGACCTTGAGTTTGTGTGTTTTTTGAACCTGAGTTTCTGTTGTTTTTGAACTTGGAGTTGTGGTTTTTTTTTCACTTGAGGGTGTGGAATTTTTTAAACTTGATAATTGGGTTTTGTTCTACCTTGAGTTTGTGGTGTTTTTGAACTTGAGTATATGTTGTGTTTGAACTTGAGTTTGTGTTATGTTTGAACTTAAGTTTGTGGCGTTTTTTGAACTTGACTCTGTCGTGTTTGAACTTGAGTTTGTGGTGTTTTTGAACTTGAGTTTTTGGTGTTTTTGAACTTGAGCTTGTGGAAATTGTTGAACTTGAGAATTGGGTATTGTTTGAACTTGAGTTTGTGGGGTTTTTTTACTTGAATTTGCGTGTTTGGTGAACTTGAGTTTTCGTGTTTTTTGAACTTGAGTTTCTGTTTTTTTGAACTTGAGGTTTTGGAAATTGTTAAACCTTAGAATCGGGTATTTGTTGAAATTGGGTTTGTGTGTTTTTTGAACTTGAGTTTGTGGTGTGTTTGAACTTGAGTTTGTGTTGTATTTGAACTTGAGTTTGTGTATTTGTTGAACTTGAGTTTGTGTTGTTTTTGAAGTTGAGTTTTTGGTGGTTTTTAACTTGAGGGTGTGGAATTTGTTAAACACGAGAATTGGGTTTTGGTTGAACTTGAGCTTGTGGTGTTTTTGAACTTGAGTTTGTGGTGTGTTTGAATTTTAGTTTGTGGCGTTTGTTGAACTTGAGTTTCTGTTGTTTTTTGAACTTGAGTTTGTGTCGTGTTCGAACATCAGTTTGTGGTGTCTTTTGACTTTATTTTGTGTGTTTGTTGAACTTTAGTTTGTGTTGTGTTTTAACTTGAGTTTGTGTGTTTGTTGAACTTGAGTTTGTGTTGTGTTTGAACTTGAGTCTGTGTTTTTTTTAACTTGAGTTTGTTTCTTGTTTGATCTTGAGCTTGTGGCGTTTGTTTAAATTGAGTTTGTGTTGTGTTTGAACTGGAGTTTGTGGTGTTTTTTGAACTTGAGGTTGTGGAAATTGTTAAACTTGAGAATTGGGTATTGGTTGAACTTGATTTTTTTGTGTTTTGAACTTGAGTTTATGTCGTGTTTGAATTTGAGCTTGTGGTTTTTTGAACTTGAGTTTCTGTGTTTTTTGAACTTGAGGTTTTGGAAATTGTTAAACCTTTGAATCAGGTGTTGGTTGAACCTGAGTTTGTGTGTTTGTTGACCTTGAGTTTTTGTCATGTTTGAACTTTAGTTTGTGGTGTTTTTGAACTTGAGTTTGTGTGTTTGAACTTGAGGGTGTGTTGTGTTTGAACCTGAGTTTGTGGTGTTTTTGAATTTGAGTTTGTGTCGTGTTTGAACTTGAGGGTGTGGAATTTGTTTAACTTGATATTTTGGTGTTGTGTTGGAACTTAAATTTGTGGTGTTTTTAAACTTCAGTTTGTGTCGTGTATGAATTTGAGTTTGTGTCGTGTTTTTGACTTGAATTTTTGGTGTTTTTTAACTTGAGGGTGTGGAATTTGTTAAACTTGAGAGTTGGGTATTGGTTGCATTTGAGCTTGGGGTGTTTTTTAACTTGAGTTTCTGTTGTTTTGGAACTCGAGGTATTGGAAATTGTTAAACCTTTGAATCAGGTGTTGGTTGAACATGAGTTTGTGTGTTTGTTGAACTTGAGCTTGTGTCATGTTTTTGACTTGAGTTTTTGGTGTTTTTGAACTTGAGGGTGTGGAATTTGTTAAACTTGAGAATTGGGTATTGGTTGAATTTGAGTTTGTGTGCTTGTTGAACTTGAGTCTTTGGTTTTTGGTGAACATTAATTGGTGGCAATTGTTGAACTTAAGTTTGTGTTGTGGTTGAACTTGAGTTTGTGTCTTGTTTGAACTTGAGTTTGTGGTGTTTTTGAACTTGAATTTGCGTGTTTGGTGAACTTTAGTTTCTGTCATGTTTGAAATTGAGTTTGTGGTGTTTTCAAACTTGGGTTTGTGGTGTTTTTGAACTTTAGTTTTTGGCGTCTTTGAACTTGAGTTTGTGGTGTTTTTGAACTTGAGTTTGAATAGTGTTTGAACTTGAGTTGGTGGTATTTTTGATCTTGAGTTTTTGGTGTTTTTGATCTTGAGGTGATGGAGATTGTTAAACTTTAGAATTGGGTATTTGTTGAACTTGAGTTTGTGTGTTTGTTGTACTAGAGATTGTGATGTGTTTTACCTTCAGTTTGTGGTGTTTTTTAAGCTTGAGGTTGTGGTGTTTTTGAACTTGAGTTTGTGTGTTTTTGAACTTGAGGTTGTGGAAATTGTTATACTTGAGAATCAGGTGTTGGTTGAACTAGAGTATTGTTATTTCTGAACTTGAGTTTGTGGTTTTTGTTGAACTTGAATTTGTGTCGTTTTTGAGCTTGAGGTTGTGGTGTTATTGAACTTGAGTTTGTTGTTTCTGAACTTGAGGTTGTGGCAATTGTTGAACTTGAGTCTGTTGTTTTAAGTGAACTTTAGATGGTGGCAATTGTTGAACTTGAGTTTGTGGCATTTTTTGAACTTGAGTTTGTGACGTGTTTAAACATTATTTTGTTGGTTTTTGAACTCGAGTTTGTGGTGTTTTTGAACTTGAGGTTGTGGAAATTGTTAAACTTGAGAATTGGGTATTGGTTGAACTTGAGTTCGTGTGTTTGTTGAACGTGAGTTTGTGTCGTGTTTGAACTTCAGTTTTTGTGTTTTTTGAACTTGAGTTTGTGGTGTTTTTTGAACTTGAGGGTGTGTTGTGTTTTTGAACCTGAGTTTGTGGTGTTTTGGAACTTGAGTTTTTTTCGTGTTTAACCTTAAGTTTGTGGCGTTTGTTGAACTCTACGTTGTGGCAATATTTGAACTTGAGATTTGGGTGTTAGTTTAACGTAAAACTTTGGCATTTGTTGAACTTGCATTTGTGTGTTTGTTGAACTTGAGTTTGTGTCTTGTTTGGACTTGAGTTTGTGGTGTTTTTGAACTTGAGTTTGTGTGTTTTTTGAACTTTAGCTTTTGGCGTCTTTGAACTTCAGTTTTTGGTGTTTTTTGAGCTTGAGGTTGTTGTCTTTTTGAACTTGAGTTTGTGTTGTTTTTAACTTGATGTGGCAATTTCTAAAATTGACATTTGGGTGTTGGTTGAACTTGTTGAACTCGATATTGTGTTGTGTTTGACCTTGAGGTTGTGGTGTTTTTCAGCTCGAGTTTTTGTGTTTGTTGAACTTCAGTTTTTGGCATGTTTGAACTTCAGTTTGTGTTTTTTTTAACTTGAGGTTGTAGGTTTTTTAACTTGAGTTTGTGGGGTTTTGAACTTCAGTTTGTGGTGTTTTTGAACTTCAGTTTGTGGAAATTGTTGAACTTTAGGATTGGGTGTTGTTTGAACCTGAGTTTGTGGTGTTTTTTTAACTTGAATTTGTGTCTTGTTTGAACTTGAGTTTGTGGTGTTTTTGAACTTGGGTTTGTGGCGTGTTTGAACTTGAGGTTGTTGTGTTTTTGAACTCGAGTTTTTATGTTTGTTGAACTTCAGTTTTTGGCATGTTTGAACTTGAGTTTGTGGTGTTTTTGAACTTGAGTTTTTGGTGTTTTTAAACTTGAGTTTGTGTGTTTGTTGAACTTGAAGTTATGGAAATTGTTAAACCTAAGAATTGGGTATTGGTTGTGTCATAACCCGGCTCTTAAGCCATGACATATATGGAAACGGACGCAGTGTCGGGCGAGAAGTAAAGATTTATTTTAACAAATTAGAGACTTAAACAATTATTTGTAAATATGTTGTGTGTTAGTCAGTGATATCAGTCATGTAAGTGTGGATGTGTGAGTAATGAAGTGTAGGGTGTTGTGGGGTGAAAATAAACCAAAGTCAAATCAAAGCAAAAAGCCTGAGACAGCAGTCCTGTGGCAGGGTCAGAGCAAGAGAGAGAGCCGCACTGGAGAAGGGCCTTTTATGCTCTGTGGCAGCATTAGGCACAGGTGCTTCAATTATCTGCCACACCCACTCTCTCCCAGGTAGGCCTGCAGGGAAAACATGAAATGGCTCCACCAGGATTAGTCCACCTGACCCCCAGTAAGGCAGGGCCGTCACACCCCCCCCCATCAAGTCGGCGTCCCAAGGAGGTCACCGACATAATGCCGACCCACCTACAAAACACAAGTCAGAATTACTTTAAAAAAAAACAAGCAAACAAACAAAAAATAATACACCCTCCTCCTGGATACTCCAACCGCAGCTTGGTCCACCCAACCTTGGCAACTCGGCGCCTGAGAAGCAGATTAAGAAGATTGGCAGAGCAGCAGCAGTTGAATAAAACAGGAAAAGGCAGTATATTAATCTCAGTTCATGCCAACTACCACTGAGGAGCACGTGACAAAGCGTCTGCAATAATATTGTGTGCACCCTTAATATGTCTGATGTCGAGGTCGAAGGCCTGCAAAAACAGCGCCCACCTCATCAGCCTCTGGTTCGGACACCTTGGGGAATGCAAAAAGGTCAGGGGATTGTGATCCGTGTAGACCACCGTCGGTCCTCCCCCCCAACGTACACACTAAAATGCTGTAGAGCCCATATAAGTGACAGAGCCTCCTTCTCCATAACAGAATAATTACGCTGGTAATTATTAAACTTTTTTGAAAAGAAGCTGACTGGCCTCACCACCCCTTGATCGTCACTCTGGAGCAAGACCGCACCTGCTCCCACATGGCTGGCATCTACTTGCAGTGTGAATGCTCGACTGAAACAAGGAGCTGCCAGAACAGGGGCAGAGCACAGGACCAACTTCACACTATCAAAAGCTAACTGACATTCTGAAAACCACACAAATTTCACCTTTGCTTTAAGAAGTTCCGTGAGAGGAAACACAACGGTAGAGAAGTTCTTACAGAAACTCCTATAATAACCCACTAGCCCCAAGAACCTCTGAAGTTCCTTCTTTGTAGTAGGTCGTGGATATCTGGCTATGGCCATAACCTTGGCCTGGACTGGAGCTACATGACCCTGCCCCACGACCCGGCCGAGATAAGTCACTGTAGCCATCGCAAAATCACATTTGGCCAAGTTCACAGTGAGCTGGGCTTCAGCCAAGCATTCGAACAGCGCCCGAATGCGCTGAAGATGCGAGTGCCAAGTATCACTAAAGATGACCAGATCATCCAGATAAACTGCACAACCTTGTAACCCTGCCACAACGCGATTCATCAAACGCTGAAACGTAGCAGGGGTGTTCTTTAACCCAAAAGGCATCACCTTGTAGGAATAAAGGCCAGATGGAGTGATGAATGCAGCAATCTCCTGCGCACGCTTAGACAACGGCACTTGCCAATATCCTTTAAGCAAATCAAACTTGCTTACAAACTTCGCGGACCCCACCTGATCAATACAGTCATCCATACGTGGTAATGGAAACGAGTCAGATTTTGTGACAGCATTCACTTTCCGTAAATCAGTACAAACCCGAGGTGTTCCATCCTGTTTTGGCACTAGGATGCACGGAGGAGCCCAACTGGATGATGATGGAACAGCAATATTATTTTGGAGCATGTATGTGACCTCCGCCTCCAAATAATCACGCTTACTTGGGGCCATACGGTAAAAATGTTGTTTAATCGGTCGAGCATCTCCGACATCAATATCGTGTTCGATCCAGTTAGTTTGCGAAGGGATGTCACCAAACAAGCAAGAGTATTTACGCACCAACTTCGACAGCTCATCACGCTTGGACTCTGACAGATGAGCCAGCAACTTGTCCAAGTTATCAAGTGATTGTGAATTGTTTAACCTCCCATACAACAAGCTTTCGTCAGGTTCTGGTACCCCATCTCCATCATGCGCCAAACCCTCTGAAGCAACCGCAAGAGCTGGATGTACATCCTCCTTCCGGTGGCAACCCAAGTCAGCGTCAACCTCCCGGTCATAATATGGTTTTAAAAGATTCACATGGCAGAGACGCTTGGTCTTCCTGCGTCCTGGCGTTGCAACAACATAGTTCAAATCCGAGACTTTCTCTATGACAGTATATGGACCTGCAAATTTAGCCTGAAAGGGTGACCCAACTATAGGCATAAGTGCCAGGACCTGGTCTCCTGGATTGAACTCATGGTGCTCTGAACGACGGTCATACAATTCTTTCATTCTCTTCTGGGAGAGGCCCAGCTTTTCTCTCGCCATGCAACCAGCCATGAACAAACGATGTCTAAACCCATTGACATATTCCACAAGGTTAGTAGGTGGATTCATACTCACACAGTCCCCCTTCAGCACGGCCAGAGGACCCCGCACAGTATGTCCAAAGACCAATTCATTTGGGCTGAAGCCTGTGCTCTCCTGTACTGCCTCCCTAGCAGCCAACAGAAGCCATGGCAGCCCGTCCTCCCAGTCTCTATCCAACTCTGTACAATATGAGCGCAGCAGAGACTTAAGAGTCTGATGGAACCGCTCTAAAGCACCCTGGCTCTGTGCATGATAAGCCGAAGATTGGTTCTGCGTAATACGAAGAAGCTTCAACACTTGCCGAAACATTTTAGAAGAAAAATTTGACCCTTGGTCACTTTGGACCACCTGAGGAATGCCAAATATCGAAATGAACTGAGTCAGTGCCTTAACTACTGCCTTCGTTGTAATTGATCTCAGAGGAAATGCTGCCGGATATCGAGTGTTCTGACACATCACTGTGAGCAGATATTTACAGCCAGACTTGGAAGGTGGCAACGGACCCACACAATCCACAATGAGGTGTGTAAATGGTTCATTCACAACCGAAATAGGCTGTAATGGTGCAGGCTTGATCTTCTGATTGGGTTTTCCGGTGAGCTGACACACATGACAGGTCTTAATGTATGTGGAGACATCGCGCTTGACACACGGCCAAAAGAAGTGTTTCAGGATGTTGAGGTATGTCTTGCGCACACCAAAGTGTCCACACTCATCATGTGCCACCTTCAAGACCAGAGGGCGGAAT